AATCCGAGGACAATATTACATCGGATGATGAACATGATATGGATAACGAGCATGAAGATTTAGATTAATTAATCACTTAATGTAATATTAATGAATATCTATTGAACATGTATATAGTGAATTTTTCAATGAATATATATTTATGTCAATGACTTTATTATCTTTGTTTATGAAAATATATATAACTAGGTAAAATGGCACCGAAGAATAAGGATACCGGTAAGAAGTCTCAGCGTCCGAGGGTAGTAACATGTGAGTCTCCTCACTCAGCCATGTGCCCACCCCCTCAGAGTCAGGTTGATCATATGTCCCTGGCCAGTACTCAGGGTTTTGTCCCATTACTCTCCTCCCATACATTCCCGTCTGGGGTACCTGCATCTTTTGTGCCACCTGGAGGCCCCGGTTTCCTTTTCCCACAGACTCAGATGCCGTCTTCCTTCCAGCATGCAGCAGGATCTAGTTTCCCTTTCCCACCGACCCAGATGCCGTCATCCTTCCAGCAGGCGGGAGGATCTAGTGTTCCTTTCCCACAGACTCAGATGCCATCTTCCTTCCAGCATGCGGGAGGATCTAGTTTCCCTTTCCCACCGACCCAGGTGCCTTCATCTTTCCAGCAGACTGGTGTCCCCTCATCATTCCAGCAGACGGGGGGAGGACCCAGTTTTCCATTTATACAGACAGGCGTGCCTTCATCATTCCAGCAGACAGGGGGACCCACACAGATGTATTCATCCTTCCAGCAGGCGGGAGGGTCCAGCACCCCACACTCCACACACATTGGAGGACCCAGCAGTCCACGTCCGGCACAGGCTGCAGGATCCCGCGCCCCACGTCCTAGACGGACCGGAGGGTCACGCACCCCTCATCCCACACAAGCTGCAGGATCCAGCACCCCACGTCCTACACAGGCTGGCGGTGATGCAGATGTCGTAGCTGATGATATAGATGGAGCTGATATTCGTGAGAGATCAGATGATCCGAGTGAGATTCATGTAATTGACGGGAGGTTTTGGATTTGGCCCGAAGGAAGCAAGTAAGTTTCTTATATAAACTTTTATTTAAGTACATATTCATTTTAATATTTTGTATAAATTTATAATTAATATTGTTTATTCAAAATCTTGTTGTTTAGTTTCGCGCCGAGTCGGACGGCTGCCAAGGTTATTAATTATATAATCCAGCAGATGTATAAATCCTCTTGGAAGAACTTTGGCGAGGTTACAAATAAAGAAGAATGGTTTAAAAAATTTAAGGTATTGTTATTTATTTAAGTTGTAAATTTATTATATTTTTTTAGTATTGTTATTTAAGTCACATTTTAATGATAATTGCTTAACTTTTTATTTTAATGTCATACAACATTGCAGGAAAAATGTGTGTGGGATCCGTTGAATGAGAAAATAATGGAAAAAATATATTATAGCAGAACTTCTAGAAGATTTTCTGATATCATGCGGCGGGTTAGGGAGAATTATGAGCTGCATGGTATCCGTCCTAACTGGATAGGCGTAGAGGTTTTTGGCGAACTTCGTACATATTGGAGTTCGCCAGAATTCAAGGCCAAATCCGAAAATTTTAAGAAGATGAGGGCATCCGAAAAGGGGGGATGTGTCAATACTGTTGGAAGTATTAGCACTGCAGAGCATGTCCGGCGGATGGTAAATATTACTAATTTTTTAAGTTATATATATTTTTATTCATAATATTTTTTACTAATTATTTTTAACTTTATTGTTTAGACTAAGGAGATGGGGAGACCACCGTTGATCATTGAGTTGATTACGAGGACTCGGACAAAAAAATCGGGAGGTTTTGTCGACGACCGCACCCAGAAAGCTTTTGTAAGTAATTAAACTTATGTTTTTTTTTAAGTTAATAACAAAAATAGTGACGTTATTTCCACGTGGCAATCTATAAGTTGTGGCGTGATTATCATGTGGCAACTGATAAATTGCCAGGTGACTGATTTTCATATGGCAACTGATACATTGCCACGGGAAACTCACGTGGCAATTCATAAGTTGATTTGTGAAAATCACGTGACAAATTTTTAATATATTTGAATTTAGTATAATTTAATATATAAATGTTTTAATTTTTTTTTAATTGTATTATTTAATGTATGTGTAGGATGATTATCAGACATTGCTAGCACGTTTTCTGGAACACAATCCGCAATATAGGCCAGCAGAGGGGGAGCCGCTTAATGGGGATGTTGATTTCTATATTTGGAATGAGGTTGTTAATGGAAAAGGGCCTAATGGTTGCTTTTTTGCGGGAGGAAATTTGGCCGCCGGCTTGAGAGTTGGTGATCGTAATCTGTTTCAAAGACTTAGAGATGGAGAAGGGGGGTCACGTCAACCCAATCTGACTCAGGTTCAACTTGAAACAGTACGACAATTGGCGGCCAGTGAAGTGAGACGCGAAATGGAGGCCCAAATGACGACAATGAGGCAAGAGCAGGAGCGTCAGTTAGAGATCATGCGGAAGCGGCAATCTGATATGGAGGAGCAGATGAGACAGTTTATGCAAGGCGGTCGAAATCAAAATGTTCCTGATCATACACAGCCGGATGATGACGAACTTGATGACTTTGATCTTGATAATTTTCTGGGTGAAGATGCCCCGTGAAAACATTTTTTTTATTTCGTTTTTATATTTGCATTTATGTAAGATATATTTATTTTTAACATTTTAAATTAATAAATTATATAACATTTAATTATGTGAATTTATTTTATAAAATTCTATTATTCGAAATATAAAATAAAATACTATTATTCTAATAATTTTAATATATAAATTTTATTATATAAAATTTATTATATAAATTTTAATATATAAATTTTATTATATAAATTTTATTATATAAATTTTATTATTTAAATTTAATTACATTAATGAATTAATATAAAAAATAATTATTAACAATTTTTTAAAAAATATAAACGTCCCCTGTAGCGACGTGGGAATCATGTCACAAATTAGTGACATGATTCTCACGTCGCTAATAAAGCTGCCATTAACAAATATGTAGCGACGTGAATACCACGTCACAACTTTGTGACGTGGGAATCACGTCGCTACTTGCTTGCCACTTACTCCCCAGCGACATAACTCACCACGTCGCTAATTTTGCCTTGCCACGTGATTTTGATGTTTGCCACGTGATTTTCACGTGGCAACTAAGCTTCTTTTTTGTAGTGAATTTAATTTTAACGGTAACATGAATTTACTGATCAAAATATTAAATTTTAACGGGAACATGAAGTTACTGATCAAATTGAATATTAACGGGAACTTGAAGTTACTGATCAAAATATTAAATATTAACAGAAATATGAAATTAGTGATCAAAATATTGAATATTAACGGGAACATGAAGTTATTGATAAAAATATTGAATATTAACGGGAAATGAAATTATTGATAAAAATATTGAATATTAATGGGAATATAAAGTTACTGATCAAAATATTTAATATTAACGAGAATATAAAATTACTGATCAAAATATTAAATGTTAACGGGAACATGAAGTTGTTGATCAAAATATTGAATATTAACGAGAACTTGAAGTTACTGATCAAAGTATTGAATATTAACGGAAACATTAAGTTAGTGATCAAAATGTTGAATATTAACGAGAACGTGAAGTTACTGATAAAATATTGAATATTAATGAGAAAACGAAGTTACTGATAAAAATATTGAATATTAACGAGAATATAAAATAACTGATCAAAATATATAATATTAATGGGAACATGAAGTTACTAATCAAAATATTGAATATTAACGGGAACATGAAGTTACTAATCAAAATATTAAATATTAATGAAAATATTAAGTTACTAATCAAAATATTGAACATTAACGCGAACATGAAGTTATTGATCAAATTATTGAATATTAACGAGAATACAAAATTATTGATCAAAATATTGAATATTAATAGAACAACTTTATTATTGGTTTAAATATTTTTACAACAATTCAAAAACAAAAACAATATATATATATATATATATATATATATATATATATATATATATATATATATATATATATATATATATATATATATATATATATATATATATATATATATATATATATATATATATATATATATATATTATTCAAATATTTTTATATATTGGAAGAATCATAGACACCGACTTATTATCTTTTTTTAAAATTTTATATTTTATTTTTATTATATTTTGAGAACAAATGCGTGTATCATACCGGTACCTATGCGGACACACGAGTATCCCACCAATTATTATCATATAAGAAAACTATACTTTTTTCACAATTTGCCACGTAGATGCTTCACAACTCACTTCATTTGTTTTTCTAAATCCTCCGTATTTGTTTTCCCAAATTTTCCATCCTCCGCCAATTTCTTCTTTTTGTTCTTCCATCTCCTTTCATTATACGGTTTCCATTAATCTACTCTACCTCTCTCTTCCAAATAAATGAACGATTTCGCCATCATTAATCTACTCTCTCTCTATCTTCTTCTTCTTCTTTCATTATTTCAATTCAATTTAATTATTTTGGTTTTAGAATTTGAGGCTCTATGAAACCATCATTGTTCTTCAAGTTATTCATATAAAATTGTTTTTCCACCTCAAGAACTCATTGACGATTTAAGTGGTAGATCTGTGGTTTGATATGAGTATGTCATATTTTGAGTTTGCAAAATCATCTAATGAATTTGAAGAGATTTCTAGAGAGGTAGGAAATTGAATCTTTATTACATGATATCATGTTATTTCAATTCAATTCAATGTAACATATATCTATTAGAAAATATGTGAACATAACTGAACCCCGTTATATTTTGTTTTGTGTTGATTTGTATTTGTTCAGATTCTTACTGATCTCTTTGTTTTCAAGGGAAACCCGTGGAAAAAAAATGCATTTTTGTGTTATCATGAACTGATCAAAGCAACGCGTTTTCTGCGGCGTGCGGTTTCAAAGTGGTAGATATGCGGTGGCAGACAACGTTTACGGCAGCGACTGTGGTACTGGTCAGATTCGAAACTGCGTTAATTTCATGTTTTAATCTAAAAAATTATGACGGTGTCAGAGATAAAAAAGATATCGAGGAAAGATGTGACCAGGTTTATTTTAATCTCCTACTCCATTTAATTTTACCATTATCATATAAATCTAAGACTGGTTTTTCAATGATGTTTCTTATGATTTGTATATGGAAACCGTTTGAATTTATTTTATCTTTTGATTTTGCACAATCGATTTTGCAGTGACAAGTCAAATCTAATCGAGCCATCCATTGTCGATAAGACCAATATAAACTTTTGATCATCAAATCAATGGTTGATATTATATGTATGTGCATATTAAATCACGACGATAGAAATATCAACAATTGATTTTTTCACTTTCTTAACTACTTATTTTAAAGGCTCTGAATCTGAAGTGGTGAATGCTTTCTTTTGATTTTTTGAAATTATTTATTTAGATATTGTACTTTGATTTAATTTCTCAATCTTATGTGTTGTTATTTCAGATTCCAAATCATGTAGCTATCAAAATTGCCCTTGAACTGAAGAAGCTGCTCATAGACAACAGCCTTTTAGATGTGCATGCTACTACCTATCTATTCCCTTTATCTTTTTACGATGTTGAATTTTCATTTTTTTCTTTCATAACCTTGATGTTAATCGAGTTAGTGATAAAAATATCTTTCATTGTTGTTTCATGCTTGCAACTCAGAACCAAAAGAGATGTTTCCATAGTTAGATAGCATAATTAAGATTTATTTATTTTTCCTCCAACTTACTGAATTATTGTTTTTTTTTTGTTTATCAAGAGGATCTATATGTTTTAACTTCCAACATTTGTTTCATGTGTTTGATTCTTCTATGTTGAATTTGGACCGAACACCTATGTTGTCGGCACGGCATAGCCAACCCCGAAAATGGAACAGGGCAGAAGTGTGTGCTATTTGTACGCGTAGAAGTGTGGTAGAGAAAAAATAGAGCCATTTAGACACACGGTAGTATGGTATAGTATGGTGGCAGCCAACCATAACTTGCATCCATCAAGTATTGTTGCAATTTCATTCCTTTTTCAATATTCTTTGTGTTGTTGTGATTTCGTTACGCTAGGTTAAATTCAAATTAGTATTGGGTAAATTAAAAGTCAGATTTTCTTAGGCAGTGGGAAATATATTCTTTTGAGATCTATAAATAGTAAATGCTGTAACTTTAAATATTCTATCATATAAATCACATTGTATCTCATTTTAAAAGTTAGTTGGACAATATATAAAGAAAAAGTTCATAGTCCACTCTCACTCTCTCTCTATATTTCTTCAAATTGGTATCAGAGCGCATGACAAATATGTTGGGACAAATGCCACTGCCACGACTTTTAAAGTCGAATAATGAGAACTGGAGTATCCAGATGAAGGCATTGCTGGGATCGTTAGATGTATGGGAAGTAACTAACGATAGGTTTGAAGAACCATCAAATACGACGGCAAACACAGCTACTCGGAACAAGGCGTTGAAAGAAACACGAGCAAAGGATAAAACAACATTGTACATGCTGTTCAGAGCAGTTGATGAATCAGTTTTCAAAAAGATTGCTGGTTCGACTACATCGAAGGAGGCGTGGGACACGCTAGAAAAAACTTTCAAAGGAGCAGATAGAGTCAAGCAAGTTCGATTGCAGACTCTTCGAGGAGAAATGGAGAGAATGAAGATAAAGGAGACATAGTCCATATCGAACTACATCACTCGTGTGCAGACGGTGACAAATCAACTCAATCGAAATGGAGAAGCAGTGTCTGATGCTCGTATTGTCGAAAAGATTCTGAGATCTTTGACAGATAAGTTTGAAAACATAGTATGCGCAATAGAAGATGCAAATGATCTTTCGACAATCACTGTCGAAGAAGTGGCTGGTTCGCTTGAGGCACATGAACAATGCAAAATAAAGAATAAGGAGGAGGCACTTGAGGATGCAAAATCCAACAGAGATGAAAAGACACTTTTCTCTCAAAATTAGCGTGTGGGAGGACATGGTCGTGGAGGACGTAATGGTGGTCGAAGTTACCAAAATAATAACTTCGACAAAGGACAGTCAAGTCAACAAAACTGGCATGGAAGAGGACGTGGCCAGAGAGGTGGTAGATCGAATTACAACAATATCGAATGTTACAAATGCAACAAACAAGGGAACTATGCGAAAGATTGTAACTCCTACAGTTGCTACAATTGTGGTAAAATGGGACATCTTGCAAAATATTGTCGTCTCAAAAGAAAGGTAGAAGAAACAACAAATCTTGCTCTAGAAACATAATCGAATGAAGGATTTATGTTAATGACTCAAAAGGAAGCAGATGTAGAAAATGACATTGTGTGGTACCTAGACTCAGGAGCAAGCAACCATATGTGTGGTCATAAGCACTTGTTCAAAGAAATAAAGAAAATTGAGGATGGTCATGTTTTGTTTGGAGATGCGTCAAAAGTAAGGGTCGAAGGAAAATGAACAATCAGTTTCTTGCAGAAGGATGATTTGATAGGATCTATCCAAGATGTGTATTATATACCAAACCTCAAAGCAAATATTTTGAGTCTGGGACAACTCACAGAAAAGGTTTATTTGATTCTCATGAAAGATCAAAGCTTGCACTTAAAAGACAAGTCAGGACGTCTGATTGCTCAAGTAGAAATAGGGAGAATTCGAATGTACAAGTTGAACTTGAGAAGCATTCGAGAAAAATTTGCAAGTCAGTGTCGAAGACCAAGCATCCCTGTGGCATCTACGTCTTGGTCATTTACATTAAGCTGGACTAATGAGGTTAGCAAAGAAAAATATGGTGCATGGACTGCTAGACGTGGAATTCGAAGGAAAATTCTGTGAAGAATGTGTGTTTGGAAAATAGACGAGAACCTCATTCCAATCGAAGGCAGAATATCAGGCCAAACAAATTCCGGAATTGATTCACACTGACATATGTGGACCAACTACCCCAGAATCCTTCAGTGGAAAAAAGTACTTTATATCCTTTATTGATGATTTCTCAAGGAAAACTTGGGTGTACTTTTTGAAAGTAAAATATGAAGCCTTCGAAGTATTCAAAAAGTTTAAGATAATGGTTGAAAAAACAACAGACAAGCACATCAAAGCTCTTCGATCATATAGAGGTGGGGATTATACTTCGACAACCTTTATGAAGTACTGCGAAGAGCAAGGCATAAGAAGATTTATAACTGCAACATACTCACCTCAACAAAATGGTGTGGCAGAGAGGAAGAATCGAACAATCCTTGACATGGTTCGATAAATGCTTAAGAGCAAAAACATGTCAAAGGAGTTTTGGGAAGAAGTTGTACAATGTGCTATCTACGTTCAAAATAGATGTCCACATTCGAAGTGGGAGATTTAACACCTCAAGAAGCTTGGAGTGGTCGAAATCCAACTGTGTCTCACTTCAAAGTATTTGGAAGTGTGGTTTATGCACATGTACCTGATCAAAGAAGAACAAAACTCGAAGATAAGAGTTAGAAATACATACTTATTGGGTATGATGAGAAAACGAAAGGTTATAGACTTTTCGACCCAATAAACAAAAAGGTGATAGTAAGTAGAGATGTTCAAGTAAATGAAGAAAGCAAGTGGGACTGGAATAACTCTACTGAAGTTTTGGTCGAAGTACCAGATGCTATATCGAAAGACACTTCGACAGAACAAGAAGACTCTGATGATGAAGAAGGACCCTCACAACCTAGATTGCGAAGTTTACAAGACTTATATGAAAACACAGAAGAAGTGAATCTCGTATGCTTGCTGGCAGATACTGAATATGTCAGTATCGAAGAAGCAATAAGAAACAAAAATTAGAAGGATGCTATGAATGAAGAAATTAAGGCCATCGAACGCAATGATACTTGGGAACTAGCAGAGTTACCAAAAGGAAGTCAAACAATTGGTGTGAGGTGGGTGTTTAAGAAAAAGATAAATGCACAAGGTGAAATCGAAAGATACAAGGCGCGACTTGTGGCGAAAGGATACAGGAAGAAAGCAGGAATCGATTATGATGAAGTCTTCACACATGTTGCAAGAATGGAGACTATTTGACTGCTCATATCTCAAGCTTCTCAATACAAATGGAAAATACATCATATGGGTGTCAAGTCAGCCTTTCTGAATGGCGTGCTCGAAGAAGAAGTTTACATCGAACAACCCCCTAGATTCATGAAAATTGAAAATGAAGGAAAGGTGCTAAAGCTAAAGAAGGCTCTTTATGGGCTGAAGCAGGCACCACGAGCATGGAATACTTGAATTGACACGTACTTCAAAGAAAATGGATTTCAACAATGTCCCTTCGAACATGCCTTGTATGTAAAGAAGAAAAAAGAGAAAATACTGCTCGTTGCTCTCTATGTTGATGGTTTGATTTTCTTGGGCAACAACAATCAGATGATCTAAGAGTTCAAAGTCACAATGACACAAGAATTTGAGATGACTGACTTAGGCCTGATGAAATACTTTCTTGGTCTGGAAGTTCAACAGGAAGAAACAGGATTCTTCATCTCACAAGAAAAATATGCAAAAGATATTCTGAAAAGATTTAAGATGGATAGCTGCAATCCCATTTCGACACCAATGGAGCTAGGAGCAAAACTTTCGAAATTTGATGGGGGAGAGCGTGTCGAAGCAAACAAATTTCGAAGATTGGTGGGAAGTCTTCGATACCTCACATGTACAAGGCCAGATCTTTCGTTGAGTATTGGAGTTGTGAGTCGCTTCATGGAAGAACCAATTGTTGCACACTGGAAAGCTCTGAAGAGAATCCTTCGATATCTCCAAGGAACTGTGTCACTTGGAATGTTCTATTCGAAAGCAGAAGAATATAAGTTGACTGGCTACTCTGACAGCGATTGGTGTGGTGACATTGATGATCGAAAGAGCACTTCAGGATATGTGTTCTTCATTGGAAACACTGCTTTCACCTAGATGTCAAGAAAGCAACCCATTGTAACTCTTTCGACCTGTGAAGCATAGTATGTAGCAACATCCTGGTGTGTATGCTATGCAATATGGCTGAGAAGATTGCTGAGCAAGATGGAATCGAAACAAGAAGACACAACAATAATTCAAGTTGACAACAAATCTGCAATAGAACTGGCGAAGAATCCAGTCAACCATGAACGAAGTAAGCACATTGATGTTCGATTCAGTTTTATTCGAGAACATGCGAAGGATGGAAGCATCAAACTGAAGCATGTTGCAAGCAAAGATCAAGCAGTAGACATCTTTACAAAACCACTGTCGAAGGAGATTTTTAATAGAGGCAAGAAAATGCTAGGCATGGTGGATCGAAGGAATATTTGAATTTATGGGGGAGTTTTGTTGGTTAAATTCAAATCAGTCTTGGGTAAATCAAAAGTCAGATTCTCTTGGGCAGTGGGAAATATATACCTTTGGGGCCTAAAAATAGTAAATGTTGTAACTTTAAATATTCTATCATATAAATCATATTGTATCTCATTTTAAAAGTTAGTTGGACAATATATAAAGAAGAAGTTCATAGTCCACTCTCACTCTCTCTATATATTTCTTCATACATGACCCGTATCACAACAGAAGATTGTTTCTTCTAACAGTTACCTCAAGAGAATCGTCACGGACGTTATTCATGATCCAGGTTGTAGTGCTCCTCTCGCTAATGTTACCTTCCGTCATCTCTTTCTCTATAAGAACCAAGATGAACTTTTTGTTGCTGCTGAAGGTTTATACACCGAGCAATTCATCTACTGCGGTAAAAAGGCTACCCTAGTCGTTGATAACGTGATTCCTCTGAGATCTATCCTAGAGGGAGTTGTTATCTGCAATATTGAAGGCCACGTCGGTGACTGCGGTGTCATGGCTCGAGCCTCCTATGATTATGCTATTGTTATCAGTCACAACCCTAATAACAACACATCTAAGATCAAACTTCCTTCTGGTTTAAAAAAGATTGTGTCGAGTGATTGTAGGGCTATGATTGGGCAAGTAACTGGCAGTGGAAGAACCGAGAAGCCATTATTAAAGGTTAGCAATTCTTACCACAAATTTAGAGTGAAGATAAACTGTTGGCCTAAGGGTCGCGGTGTTGGCATAAATCCAGTTGAGCATCCCCACTGAAGAGGTAACCACCAGCATATTGGTCATGCAAGTACACTCAGTCGTGGTGCACCTCCTGGACATAAGGTTTGTCAAACTGTTGATAAAAGGACTGGTCTACTTAAGGTAGCTGCTGCAAAGAATGATTAATAACATGTTTAGTTTCAATCATATTTTATTGCTTTTGTTCTAATTTTGATCATTTGAAAATTATGGTTTAAGTCTGTCAAAATTCATGATTAATGTAGTTATATTGGTGGTTAATGAATCTTAATTAGGGGTGACAAAACGGGTTGGGCCCGCCGAATTGACCCGTTTGACCCGCCATTTTTGACGAGTTGGGCTGAGATTTTCGGCTCGGTACCTTAAGTTGGCCTGCCCCGCCTAACCCGCTTAAAAAAACGGGCCGAGGCGGCATGGGTTTTCCCCGCGAGTTTTTTGTTAAAACTTTTACTCTTTTTATTAAGAATTAAAACAACTTTAATTATAAAAACAACATTTATATCTTAGGATTGTATTATAAATTATTATACAGACAAATTGAATTATAATTATAACGTTCTTTCTATAACTTTTTAATACATGTGTTGATTGAAAATGATTGAATTAAAAGAACAAATGTATGACATGCATAATTATTAAGTTTTCAATATATTAGCTTAAATGTTTTCTTTAGAAATAGATGTTGATTTTATGAAAAGGAAAGATTTGATTAGGATATACGTGTGACAAGTTTAGAATTTAACTATTAAAGAGTCGATCAATATAAGAGTATATATATAATGGAAACAGTGAGAAAGTTCAGTGTTGATATTTTATGCACTTGTGATGTTTTATGCAATGTTATTGTTATCATTGTTGGTTTTGTGTAAATTCTAAATTGAGTTCTTTTAGTAGTTAGTTTTTAAATAGGATTAAGATGATATGTATTATTTATTTATTTTGATATTTTTTATTGTGCTTGAATTTTTTTTGTTTTTTTTTTTGTAATTGGTGTTTATTTATTAAATTTTTTGAATTGTTTGGACTTAAGACAATTTGAAGTTTTATTATGCGTTGTTAAAAAAATTTCTTTATCGACCTCTTTGGTAATAATTAAAAAATTTCTAAATTATGTATTAAATCAAATTGTAAAATTAAAAAAATTAAAAATTGGCGGACTGGTCTGCCAACTCGTTAGTAAATAGAGCGGACTTGACTTTTGAACTCAAATCCCTACATTGACCCGCCCCGCTCCACTTTTAGACGAACTTAAACGGAACGAGCCTAAATAGAGCGGGTCATCCGCTTTGTCACCCCTAATCTTAATATATGATATATCCATTAACTGCGCACCTTATGTAATTAATCACATATTATGTTTACAGCTTCAAAAAAAACAAGTGTAAAGTGCGGCCTCATTCAATTGGAAGGTTGGAAAAGGAAGTATCAACTGCAACAATCACTACTAGAGAATAAGAGATTACTGCACAATCACCACAATTATAGTAATATGATTTGGTATGCTTGAAGGATGGATGAGGGTTCTTATCACTAAATCTCAGTTACCCTAACTCCATATGAAGTTGTTACTAAAATATAAAATATCCTTCATGCTTGTGCTAGCTTGGCAATTTTAGTTCATGGAAAAATGGTCCACAGTTGTATTATTCATCTTGGTTTAGACAAGTATTTATTTTTTGGCAATAGCTTGATTAATATGTATGCTAAATGTGGAAATGTAAAAGGTTTGAGCCTCGCATTTCATGCCATTAGTGAGAAGGACCCGATTTCTCGGAATTCAATGTTGTTTGCATTTGTATCAGGAAACAATTCATACTATTACATGGATGATATATCTAAGATATTATACATCCTTGAATTAGAGATGAGACACACTTGGCCCCTTAATTTTGATACTGAATTATCTTTATAAACCAGTTAAGTTAAGCTTATGTGAAATAACTTGATAAGCAACAAAATCTCAGTTTGCACTGTATGAAGATAATTTTTTGTGGTTTATACTCCCTCTTAGGTATTGTACACGATATAATAAATACTTTTTTTTGTCACTCAACTTTATCTTGTTTGAGGTTTGGTTGGTCCCCTCTAATTTTACATATATGATAGTGATGATCAGAACAAAAAATATATTTTTAATGAGTTGATAATATTGATTAAGATAATTTATTTATTAATCTTTTTAATTAATAAACTAATAATTTTATTTAAGTTAATTTAAAATTTGTTTTAATACATTATTTAGAATAATTTTTAACACATTTTTAAAAATGATTTTTATGAGATTGAGGCTAAGTCATTGAAAGTTCTTTTCAGCCCATATTTAATAGTCTTGAATAGTTTGTTTAACATATATAAACCCTAAACATTTGAGGAATTAAGATGACACCCCCTCTTATACATGGTACCTCCTAAATTGTCTGAAAAGATCAAATTATTTAGACTTAAATAATTTTCAGAAATTTTAAATTTTCGTGACCAACCATATTTTTCAAATCTCTGGTGATACTCGAAATTTCAAGGTGACATCGGAAATTTAGTGAGACAGTAAGGAATTTTCGATATTTTTGCAAAATATGTGATATTTTATACTAAAATTTTCAAAAATTCCAGTATTTTTGTACCTGAAATTTTGAAATTTCTAATTTATACATTTCACTTTCGTATCGAAAATTTCAAAAATTCTGGGACTTTACAGGATACCGAAAATTTTGAGATTTCCGGTAGTTCAATTTTTAAAATAAAAAAAACCAAAAATTTAGAAATTTCTGGTAGTTTATATTTTCCTAATTTTTTCTTATTTTGCAGTGAGGACCAGGGGCAAAGACGGTACCGTCGCGGGCAGACAGACTGATACAACGGAAGCTCAGGCCCAGGCTGATGAGGGACAAGCTTCCGAGCTACGGGCTGGCCGACGTCCTCTGACCGATTCTCACCGGAAATGGTTGGCTGAGCAACAAGCTCAGTTTCGTGCACCCCGACGTTGGGGATTGAGAGTTTCCACTGCTGAGGAGCCAGCTGCAGAGCATATTATGGAGCCAGCTATAACGGAGGTACATGCTTTTGTTCCTGTTGTGGAGCCAACTGCTGTGAAGGTACATGTTTTTGTTCCTGTTATGGAGCCGGCAACTGTGGAGGTTATTGAGGAGGTACATGTTTATGTTGTAGAGCCGCCAGCTGTAGAGGTTATTGTGGAGCGGGAGGTTGGGGCTGAGCGTGTTGCTAAGGTGTCCCCTATTGATATAGACACCACGAATCGTGCGTCTATGGAACCATCAGTACACACAAATTGAGCATTTTCTGGAGGACCTTCAGTCAGGTTCGTGCTGATGGGATTTGCTAACCATGTCGCCTACAGGATATGGCACGACGAGGTATATGTTTGGTTTTCTTTAATTGCATATTTTTTATTTTTGCTTACAACATGCTTACTGGCATTGATGTATAATATTTTGTTTTTGCTTCTTACAGGAGCATCTGGTGCTGACGGTCGCTTCTCATGGTTCAAAATTAAAGAACTTCCCTAAATGTTTGATGCCTGAGGAGGTCAGGAGTATCGTTAGAGATTTTCATTTGCTGAATTTTGTTGAGTGCTCCTTGACCATGTTGGACGCCTCCCTATTATCTACTTTTGTTGAGAGGTGGCACCCAGAGACATCATCTTTTCATTTTCCATTTGGGGAGATGATTGTCACATTAGATGATGTCGACTTGTTATTTCACATTTCGGTTGCTGGTACATTCTTCACACCAGTAGTTATTAACCATCTAACAACGATGCGCATGATTATGGATGACTTGCAAGTGTCTGAGGAGGACGTGCTAAAGGAGTTTGGTGAAACCCATGGATATCACCTTCAGATGTCTTGGCTGAGGAAGTTGTATGGGGAGCTTGTAGAGGCATGTCGCTAGGGCGTACATGCCACATCTGGTGGCATGTACTCTCTTTGCAGACAAGTCTGTAGTTTAGATTGATGTTCGGCACCTGTCTCTGTTCAGCACACTTGACACTCCATGTTGGGCTTGGGGAGTGATGGCCTTGACCATGATGTACACGCCACTTGACGTTGCTTCTCATGTCGAGACCAGGAAGCTTGTTGGTTATCTTAGCCTATTACATGTACACTAGGTTTTATTTGATGGTTTTTATTAGTTATTTGGGTGAATTTATTTAATGGTTTTCATTTATGCAGTGTTAGATATATGAGCACTTCCCTCACATCTGTGAGTGGAAGATCCAATGTGTACTGGCTATCGTTCCATGTGTGAGGAGATGGAAGGGCAAGCAAGCCCATCCAAGAGGTTTGATGGAGTACAATATGATGCTAGATACACTAACGTTAAAGGATGTCATATGGACACCTTATACATCTCATCACCCTCATCGTCCATTTAAGGTGTCTACTTTGTATTCAGGACATACCAGATGGGAGACCCATGTGGCTAGACACTTTCCTGAGAGGTGTCTACGCCAATATGGTTATGTACAGGGCATCCTTCGTCTAGTTCTAGAGACTCCAGCCGGTGGCATTGATAGATGGTTTCAGAGTCACGTCCTCAGCTCCCCACGTGAGATCATGAATACAACTTTTGAGGTTCATCGTCCAAGGCAGCGCAAGGATGGATACCTGGAGTGGTTTCACAATGTGTCACACTCTCGAGTCATGCCACCGGCTGCAAAATCTAATGTTCTGGGGCCTTCAGGTGCCAGGGTTTCTATCGAGCCACCACCACCTCCACCTCCCGCTGGTGATCAGCGCCTACAGTTCATCGTTGTTCATTTAGATAGCCTCATGGGTTTGGTAAACCCTAATGGTGAGGTCTATACTAGTTTACCTAGGTTGGCCAACGTAGCCCGTGGAGGGCCTACGTAGATTTGTTTTATTATGGTTGTATTATATGTATATTTTATGACACACAAACATCTTATTTATTGCATAATCTTTTGGTGATTACATGCTTTGATTCGATGATGAACATAACATAATGTTGTACCCCAAAATTTTCCCTCCCATATTTCT